ATACATTCTTCATGGGCTTCAATGGCTCTCTAGATAAAGGGCGTTTTATGGTTGCTTGTATTATCCTCAGATAGGGGTTTGTTTAAATAACTAGTCACATTTTAATAAATATTGCAAAATAGGGCTCCAAAAAAGGCATATATATATATATATCCTGGCCGGCTTAGCCAGTGTGTATTTTTTCAAGCACCACAAGATTCATAGTTTATAAAGTACAATTCTGGGCCATTGATTGTGTCATTTCTCCAAACTCATACAGTAAAAATGGCTGTTTTTGAAGCCTTAAAATGGTGCAGGAAAAGGACTTTACATTGTATTATACTTAAAGACAGGACTATTCAGTTAAGTGAAGAGAAAAAAGGAAAGAAAACTGTTATAATGGGTGATGTAACATTAATGACAGACATAATATGAGGTCCTTGGCACACATTTTGTGATCATGGGGCATCACCCTTACAGCATCAGGACAATATCATATGGAGTCAGACACTGGAAGTGTGCTGAAGGCATTGACTAGGACTGATGGAAGGATGAGGCTGATAAGACTGAAGAATCTGCGAGGAATGAATTAGCGGCTGAGAAAGTTATATATTAAAAGACAGCAGCATCATAAGAGGGCAACCAGAGTGACAGAGTGTGTTACTTTGCTGAAGGATATTTGTGACCAGCTATCCAGGCCAGTCTCTAAAGACTTTCCAAGGTGTAAAAATGCTGCTGCCGGAGTACTGACTGGAAGTATTGCTGATATCATACCATCCTCTTAAAATACTCTGTCCAACAATATCAGTCTCAGGAAGAAAGGTTTTTTAACGCTTATTAAAAGAAAAACATGCATTCTTGTACTCGGGAGGGGACATTGACAGAGGATTACTGGAAAAGTACACAGTAAGTACTTCATAGTAGCTACTTGTGGGGGTAGTTTCAGTAGTACCGAGTCCAACAGGATCAATCTCACGAAGAACTAATGGCAACAAAAAATAATTCCCTCATCAAACTTAGCAGAAGTGGCTTGATTTTGTTCTCAGCAGGGGACTTTGACAGAGGATTTCTCAAAAAGTACACAGTAAAATTACTTCAATGTATTGTTAGTAGTAATATCCTTTAGCAAAGTAACACACTCTGTCACTCTGGTTGCCCTCTTATGATGCTGCTGTCTTTTAATATATAACTATTTCTCAGCCGCTAATTCGTTCCTCGCAGATTCTTCAGTCTCATCAGCCTCATCCTTCCATCAGTCCCAGTCAACGCCTCCAGCACACTTCCAGTGTCTGACTCCATATGATATTGTCCTGCTGCTGTAAGGGTGATGCCCCATGATCACAAAATGTGTGCCAAGGACCTCATATTATGTCTGTCATTAATGTTACATCACCCATTATAACAGTTTTCTTTCCTTTTTTCTCTTCTCTTAACTGAATAGTCCTGTCTTTAAGTATAATACAATGTAAAGTCCTTTTCCTGCACCATTTTAAGGCTTCAAAAACAGCCATTTTTACTGTATGAGTTTGGAGAAATGACACAATCAATGGCCCAGAATTGTACTTTATAAACTATGAATCTTGTGGTGCTTGAAAAAATACACACTGGCTAAGCCGGCCAGGATATATATATATATGCCTTTTTTGGAGCCCTTTTTTGCAATATTTATTAAAATGTCACTAGTTATTTAAACAAACCCCTATCTGAGGATAATACAAGCAACCATAAAACGCCCTTTATCTAGAGAGCCATTGAAGCCCATGAAGAATGTATCCTTCCACAAATCTTTTCATCTGCTGTATTAATAAAGCTGCCACATGTTTTCAAATTCAAGTTAAGGCACTATCTGTGCAGAACATTACAAATATTCTTAATTTGCAAGTGTTCAGAAAGACTGCATCAAATATGCTATATCTATATAATATCAATATTGTTATTAACTTCAATCAAAGTCAATTTAAATAGCGGGCAAGACTTTCCAAGGGGTAAAAATGCTACTGCCGGACTACTGACTGGAAGTATTGCTGATATCATGTCTACCATATCCTCTTAAAATACTCTGTCCAACAATATCAGTCTCATGAAGAAAGGTGTTTTAACGCTGATTCAAAATAGCAGAGAAACATGCATTCTTGTTCTCAGGAGGGGACATTGACAGAGGATTACTCAAAAAGTACACAGTAAGTATTTCATAGTACTTGTGGGAGTAGTTTCACTAGCCTACTGAGTCCAACAGGATCGATCTCACGAAGAACTAATGGCAGAAAAAATTATAACAAACTCGAGAGACGGCTGAGCTGACCGCAGTGCAGAATCGCTGTATAGTTTAAATCTCCTAACAATATTGTCCATTTTAGACATAGGCCTATTATATTTACAGCCCTTAATAACATTCATTTTCTGGGCTCAATATGTGTCTTGGCTGTTTTCGTTGTGAAAACAAATGGACCGTAGATACATGGATTGACCGTCCTCATCTGCGCTCTTATTTTGAAAGACAACTTCCGGTAGCAGAATATGAAAAAACAGGGTTTTTTTTTGTTTCTGTTTTCTAGTGATTTTATTTTTTGTTTTGAGAAGTAGAAAATGAAAATCATCCCGTGTTTTAAGTTTAGTAAATCCCTTTTTGACCGTGATAAAGAAAAACGCCTTGTATTTCAATTTTGGTTTTTCAATTTGAAAACGAAAATCAAATATCCAGTCGTTTTTTGTTTTTGAATATCCATTTGTGAAAAGAAAATCCAATGACCAAAACATACACTGACCGTTTAGATAACAAAAATATCTTTATTCTTTTAATCCCAACCTCAAGCATTTTTTAGGGTATGGTTGTATAGGACTAGTACCAATAAATGGAGCAAGTTTCATGTATGTGACCTTTTTATTATGTAAGATAGCAAGGGGTGCATAACGTGGCAAAAATATGCTGACAAAGACTATGTAACATTTGTAAACATATATTTTGATTATTATATGACAAATATGTAAAATTAAACAATACATTTTAAAGCACGTGTATACAGACAGGACGTCACAATAAAAAGAAAAACATATATTAAATAAAAAAATAACTGAAAAAGAAGTGACGAATGAATGCAAAATCCAGGATTCGATACCACTACCATCAATATACGGAGCGAAAAGTTTAACCACAAGAATCAAGACTATATGAGCTACCACTAAAACGACTCACAGTCTGAAAATTACCATTAAAAAAAACCCTGGACGTTTATTTTTCGTTTTAAGCATCGTTTTAAGGTCTAAACGTTTCATTTCGAAATGCGCGTTCCCGTGACACGGGGTGCATTTCACGAAGGGGGTGCATCATTTGACACAACACCAGCTGTCAGCGTACCGAGCCGGCCGTCAACGGCCCGCTGACGACCGGCCGTTCTGTGATTCTCCAGAACACACAGATGGCCAGTCCGCCTTTACCCTGTATTCCACCGGGTCACCGCGGCGCAGACGGACCCGGTGGAATACAGGGTCTACTGCGTTTAGGAACCGTTAAGCAGAACCGAAATTGTGTATTTTGTATGGGTACCCGGCATTTTCTTATCGGTTCTCATCTGGAACCGAGTTTCGGTTCCCAACCCTAGTGATCTGTGACTTCTTCCAGCAGGGCCCAGGCAGTGGAGACCAGAGCGCTGAGGTCTGTGAAGGGGGAACAGGTGTTAGAAGTATTCGTTGTTCTCGCGTCCAGGAGAGAAGCTTAAAATAAAGAGACTAATGGAGTCTCCGAAAAGGTTCAAATGGGTACTTTAATTAAATGGTGTGGTAATGAAACAAGCATAAGGTGGTGGAGGAGACAACACAGCTGTGGTCCCGAGGGGTGCAGGGGTGAAAAGAGGACAGACAACGCTCGTCCGCAATCTATATATCCTCCGTTGGCTCCTCTTCTTCAATGGCGGCTGTGGTGACGTAGGGGGACCTCCCTCCTCGGTCTTCTGTGTCCGATATCGCGCATAACAGAGGATTTAGACGTTGTATATTCATTGCATAACTCCACACGCCTCTTCTCCTCATACTCTCTTTCATGACTTTTTATTTAATGCATTTTAACGGCTCAAAACGTTACTTGCGTAAAACCGGAAGTCAAGCTTACTGTTGGTATTCCGGATGACTTCTTCCGGAATAGCTTTTCAAAATAAACTTTAGAATCAACGTTAGCCACAGGCGAATGCTAACCGGAAATGTTTTCACAATAAAACAGTTTTAAGCTTACTCTATGTTTAAACTAAATTACACCATTAAACATTGATTTTAATTTCTTACACAGGAGAGAGAGGGACTGTAAGAATGGGCTCAGAAAAGTGCCCCAGCAAGTACAACAGCCAACTAATGGCTGACCGTTGCTACCCGAAAACTATGCAGGCGAAACATAAATTCAGCCAATTAGCGTCGTCAGATCTGATTGAAAAATTCAGCGCCCAAGGCAGTCTGTGCATGGGGGTTCTTTGAGATAACGTAACTGTAAATGACCGCTATGTTATTTAGTATGCATGGTTAGGGGCTGGCGTAGGTATGGGTGTGACGCTGCGAACCCCGGAATCATAACAACTCTTGTTTAAACTGTTGCCGTAATCGGTGTCGCAAAATTATCGAGCGACAGGGTCTAGTTTGTGCAACGGACCTCTCGAATGTACATGTGAGTTATTGAACACTATTGTCATAAACATTTTGTGATAGTATCGGTTTATATAGGTTTTAATTAAAATTGTGTGTGCTGTTTTTTGGCTCAACTGTTCATAGTGCCAATTGAGATAAGAGTCACTGCATATAAGGACTGTCATGCTTGATGTTGCACATTTTTGCACCCTCGGTGAGCGGAGCAAGGTATGTGACACTAAAGAGACTTTGTTACACGTGTTTATTTGATCCGTGATTTAATACATTTGTGGTTTAACTGAATGCTTTGTACTTGTTGTGATGTTTTGTAATGACAATTAAGTACCTATGTCTGTGTTTATTTTTAGTTACTCTGCACTGTTTATTACCGAGGGCAGCTACAGTGAAAACTCGACCGCTACATCTGAGCCATTCACCACTTTGTGCCGGCTCAGCCAGCGGATACAAGATCATCTGATGTCCTGCATATCAACGTACGGAGGCCAATGCTGCAGTAGGAGACTTTGGCTGACTAAAGGGTAAAGCCAATAATATATACAAGCACACGGTCAAAGTTAATGTGGTAAATAGATTTAAAGCTGTCTGCTAAGTTAATTCATTGTATGCACAATTAATGAGCTCAACAACAGCCATATCATATTGTATAAAAAAATACAGTCGTAAAGGTTGAGAGCTATATAGTTAAAGAGGGCACTTCATTCCTGAACGTGAAATAATGTTTTAAAGGGTAAAATTGTCTGACCGTAGAGCATTAGCAGTACTATTGTAATGCAAATGAGCCATAATCTCATTAAATATGCGCATATTTGAATACTTTCAGGAACACAATTCTGAACATTGGATAAAGTCAGGTTCGAAATTCTTGTTTCATTTTGTAGTCATATTAGAATCTAATGTTTTTACAGAAGGGATTTTGGATATCTCTTTATATCACTCCATAAATCAGAAAATACTGTCAACAGCTCTAAAATATCAATTGTCGCCATGTTTTTAGGTATAAAATGTTATATAATTCAGGCTATGAATGATATATGAACAAACCCTTCTGTAAAAACCTTCAGAATATTGATAGGAATATAACTGGAAGGTTTGGTGTATGTAAGTGCTGCTGAAGTGGACATTTCTCACTCAGGAACATGAGAAAAAACTCATTTTGAGAAAAGGACCTTTAAAGATTGCTGTGAGGCGCTACCTAAACCCTCCTGTTCTTTGGATGACAGCTTGCGCATCGACGCACTCCGTGAAGGTATTTCGTGTTCGGGATCATTTGTTTTTTGTCTAACATTGCTTCGTGCAAGTGACAATTGTTGTCGTCTTCTCTGTGAACGTTTCTATCGCTGTTCCTTTGCCATTTTGAGATTTAAATTTCCAGCGAAATCTAAACCAAGAAGTGTTTTAGCACACCACGTGACGCATCTGAACGAATCACGTTGTCAGAAATTGACACCAGCCAATGAGATTTCGTTTTATGGTTTAAGACCCCTTTGTACTTTCACGATTGGTTGCTGATACAAAGGAAATGACCATATTTGGATCCGATGAGATTGTACAGGAGAGACGGAGCTTTCGAACGATACCTCTGATTACATGGTGCAAACAGCGGTCGCGGTACTTTATGTTACGTTAGAAAGCTAACTTTTGGTGAATTTAGGAGAAACCTACAGACGCAAATAGACAAACTAAATAAACACTTCAGTGTGTATTTTGTACATTTTCCTTCCAAAAGCCTGAAAGAAAATATGTTATGGAATCAAAATAGCACAACATATCAAAATTGACCAGTGCATGAAAAACGATGTTTTTGCCTGCCGTGTCTCGCCTTAATGAGTGAGACACACCGGAGTTGAGGATCTGTGGGGTTTGTATGTCGATGTATGGGAAACACTGTTATTTGTATGACAATTCACTAACAACCACACATTAATGAACACTTAAACCAAAAAAATGCGTCAAGTGTAAATATGCCAGATTTTAGCTTGGAGCTAATTTCCATCCGCAGTCCCTCACATAAAACATTTAAGAACATGACAATTATACACATAGCAAAAACAAATACATGATATGCAAAAAGTGCAAAAGAGCAAGAGCAGCATACACAAGTATTTATCACATGGCAGTACAATATAGCAGCAACGACATATAAAGTGCAAGAGAAGATACAAGCGATGCAAAAAGTGCAAGACATGATACCCCTGTGTTAAAGTGCATTTAGCGGTGATTGCACGGATGTTTGTTTCTCAACCATTCTTTGAGTTGACTTTTAAAACTATTGAGAGTGGGACAATCCCGTATCTCAGTTGGGAGGCTATTCCAGAATTTTTTTATTGAAAGTACATTGTGTCCAAAAGTGGTCCGTCTAGGTTTCTGACCTAGTGCAGCGTCCAGTGTCTTTTTTGTGTATGAATTCCCCTAAGGGAGGGGTATTCAGTATTCAATGTGGGATAGAATCATACAGTGGAGGTATGACTTTGCAGCATTGACGGCACCGTTAACCAAAACACACTGTTTTCTATTCGATAAGTAAGACTTGAACCAATAGGCGCTTTCACACAAAGTACTTTTCCCAGGAATAGTTCTCGGAACTTAGTTCCCCGGAAATCTTTAGTTCCGGAACTATCTAGAAGATCTTGTGAAAAGACTTGTGAAAAGGCCTGTTTGTGAAAGGTCCAAGTGTTGGTTTTTTTAAGGTAAAAAGAAACAGCATAATGGGATGCGCAGTACTAGTAGAGAGAACCAAATATGTAAAGCACTTTTTTGTTAATTTATGATTTGCTGAATATAAGGAATACAACTAAATATGCTGAGCTCAAGATTGAAAACGCACACGCCCCCAGGGTGAATGTTTATAGGATGCCGTTTTCTGGTTCAGTACTGCTCTGAAATAAAGCTCATTTGAGTTTAAAAGCTCAAACAAATATTCAGTTTGAGGTAGAGCAGCCTTGCACATCCCCTCAATAAAGTAAGTGACACATTAAATTATAAATAAGGGTCTTGGTTGGTTCAGTGTTAGCTTTGTTAAAAGTAATGTATACTTACTGTTGCTTGAAACAAGCAGCAAAATGTGAGCTATGCACCAGGCTCTGTTTTAATCAGCCTGAATTTCCTTCTAGAACTTGTTCAGTGCAAAAGCTGGTTACTTTTGCACAGATAGGGTTGCAGTTCAACAACACTCCGTTTGGTCCTCCCATGTATTGCCACCAAAATCCAGTCCCATTGATACAAGGATAAAATGTTGGAAAAACACTTGCAGCTGTTCTGAGCCATCTGCAAGACAACATATTTCATCCATGTGATACAAAAAAAAGTACTAACCCTATCCAAAACAACTCTCATTAAATACATTTAACCACGAAGGTATAAAAAGCAAGATTCCTGCAGCTTTCTTATTTATTTTGTTATAATTTTTTCATATTATTATTATTATAAATAATAATAGTATATATATATATATATATATACTATAAACACTTTTCTCTGTGCGCGTCAAAACAAGCTCGCCAAAATGGCTTCACCGGTCTGGCAGTATTTGAAGGTGTCCGAAAAAGTCAATAAAATAGCGGTATGCAACGTGTGTGTGAAGCAGAAATCCTGCAGCTCCACCCGCTGTGACGGACCGGTGAGCGGAGCAAAACACACACTAAGAGTTAGACCTAACACACTTAGCTAGTTCATCTACCTCTGGAACTAGCTAAACTAGTTATAAATATGTTTATTCTTCACTGTCGGGTCACTCATTACTGGATCAGTGAGCTGCATGAGATACTGACGGGCTGTCAGGAGAGAGAGAGAGGAAAAGAGAGAGCTTCCGCTAATTTCTCCCGTGTTATTAGCCAAAGTTAATGTAAACTTGATAATGTTCTTCATTTGAATGTAATAATGATGTTGTTTGCTGTGTGTGTTATAAACTCAAGCAATATAAAAATGAGCCCCATTAACGGAGTTTTAAACATCAGCATATATTACAGGTCATAGTCCGGTAATTACCGGCTAACTGCAACACAATTCACAATACAACACTTTAAATGGAAGATCCCCATAGCCCCCACCCACCCTATGATCAGATCGGCGATCGGTATCTGCTGATTCTGATTCCGGCGATCTGCCCCAAAAACCCTGATCGGAGTATCCCTAACATATATTGTCTATATGTATATACTATTATTATAATAATCAGTCTTATACTTCCTGAAAATAAGACTCATTCATCAAATACCCCTCTAGTATCAATTAGAGTGTGTGTGTGTGTGTGTGTGTGTGTGTGTGTGTGTGTGTGTGTGTGTGTGTGTGTGTGTGTGTGTGTGTGTGTGTGTGTGTGTGTGTGTGTGTGTGTGTGTGTGTGTGTGTGTGTGTGTGTGTGTGTGTGTGTGTGTGTGTGTGTGTGTATTGTGTGAACTTGCTCCTTTGTATTTAGCGGCTCCGTAGCTGCCAAAGCCGGATCAGATATCTGAACTGAGAAATCCATACATATGATGACCTCATATTCTTTGTTTGGTGCCTAATCCGTTGATTGATCGGTAGTGCCGTTGGCCTTGGGAAAGTGTTGACATGAGCATTAGCTTTCATCCCTTACTAGGGATGTCCCGATCACCTTTTTTTGCTCCCGATCCGATTCCGATCATTTGATTTTGACAATCTGCCGATACCGATTTTTCCCGATCCGATCTTTATGCAATGCATTAAGAGAAAAAAAAGGTAACAGATAACGGCTGGTCATCCAACGCGATGAATTCAGCTATCTTGGCTGTTATTTTTTTGGCCTTTTCACTGTTCTGGGGCAGTTTCTCTTTCCTTTTAAAAGTCTCTGAAAGTGTCAGTTGTTTCAGTGCCGTTACCTGAGTGGCCGCTGTGTACTCGTCGTGTTGTTGTTGGTGTTTGTTTCTCAGGTGGCGTTTCTCTGTTCTTTCCACCACGCGGATCCTCCGCCTTGCAAACATTGCATCTGGCTGTTACACTGCCTTCGCTTTCAATTTTATAATACTTCCAAACTCCTGACATTTTCTCTGTCCCGACTCCTGAGGCACCAGCTGAACGTAGCCTCTTGTTAGCTTACTGCTACTATTAGACACTGCGCCCACTCTGTTGCCAGATTTGAGAGAAATAAGCAACCAGGTCTATGAAAACAAGCCCAAAAGAAGCAACACATACATGATGTTGTGTAATTTTAAACCAAAACTAAGGCCTCAGGATGACTTTAAGACGTGAACATGGTCATTTTTGTTTTGTAACATTAAATAAAATAATACAAATATTTTATTAAAAAAAATCCCGATCCCCGATTTTTTTCTCCCAATTCCGATCTTTTGAAAATCACGTGATCGGCTCCGATCCCCGATCACGTGATCGGATCGGGACATCTCTATCACTTACCCACACATATATGATGTGAGCATTGATTTTTAGGATGGATTACATTGTTATTAAAAAACAAAGAGCTGCCTTGCAAAATATATTTGCATGAATATTTCTGGAGTGTATATTTCAAACCAAAGGGTTCACAGGCTGTCAGTGCTAGCACTACTGAGTTTATCTGACTCAAATGACCCCAGTCTCTCTTCTCCTGTGGTTCTCGTCTTCAGTACCTTTCATTTACACTTGGTTGTTGTTTTATTAATCACTTATTATTGACTCACACATTTTCAGGTGCGTGTGGTGCTGGAGGAGATCATGGAGAAGCTCCCAGAGAAATTCAACATGGTGGATCTGCTGGGGAGGGCGGAGGAGAGGACTCCCTACCAGGTGGTGGCGCTGCAGGAGTGTGAGCGCATGAACATTCTGACGCAGGAGATCAGACGCTCCCTCCACCAGCTCAGCCTGGGACTCAAGGTGGGGAGAAGGACATTTTGTCTGTGTTTGTCTGTCAAGACTCAATATACTGTGCTGCTTAGATCAAGATGTTGGCTCACTGCAGGCAGATAGGAACATATTATAATCGGAGGATGAAACCCTCTTTAATGGTCACATGTTCATGCACACAGCACACACAGTGAAATTTGTTCTCTGCATTTAACCCATCCTAGTACTAGGAGCAGTGGGCAACTATTGTACAGCGCCTGGGAGTGGGGGGGTCCAGTGCCTTGCTCAAGGGCACCACGGTAGGGCCCAGGAGGTGAACTGGGACCTCTCCAAGTAGCAGTCCACACTCCATATTTAGGTCTGTTCGGGGACTTGAACCGGCAACCCTACGGCTCCCAGTCCAAGCCCCTACTGACTGAGACACTGCCAGACGAACACTGTGGCGTCCCTCCTCATATCTGGATGTGTCTCCGGTTTGAGAGACTATTTGTTTGGACTACAGGCAGAAATGTCTTGGCCAGCCTAAGACACAGTTGAATAAGCAGAGTTGTGCAGAACTGATGAGAGCTTACATCACGAACACTTCTCTGTGTTCTGTTTTGTAATGACAGTGTTTGTTCCTTGGCGGAGCCTTTAATGAAACCTTAAACGCTCCAGTGTTCCAGCATCTTCATTTGTGTTTCCAATCAGTGATCCAAAAATGATTTAGATCAAAGTTACACGTTGCTTTCCGATTATAGTTTACCATTAATACATGTACATATATTTTAAACCTTCATTTTTACTTAATACGTGTATTTTTTCAGTGATTTAAAAGCCATGTAGACTTTTGTATCAGCAAATGGAATCATATTTCCTCTTTATAGTGGAACAAATAGAAGCTATAAGAATGTTGCCAGGGTGGGATGGTGCAGCTACCCATGGATTCCAGATTCAAAGATTTATTGTCATGTCATATGCACAACTACGGAGTAGTTCTGCAATGAATGAAAAACTTAGGTCACAGATTTCTCAACAGTGCAATTACAAGACATACATTTTTATAAAAATATAATAAAATAGTCCAAAAATTGTAATTGTTCACAAATGTGGAGTTGTAAAGTTGGAAGATTCACTGTATTCTATGCTTTATTGGTGCAGCAAGATCTTTATAAATGGCAAAAAGAACACAAAGACAATGCTAAAATAAAGTTGATTAATTAAAAGTTGAACATAAACGTCAACACAATACAACAATACTACAAATAATTGTATTTTGTTTTGACCCTAAGACCTTAGTTTGTTCAAAAGGAATATTATTATGTAACTTGTAGAAGTAAATCAAAAAGGCTTCGAGAGACGAGAGTGAACATCATATCATTTTAAGAGCTAGCCTGCTAGCCAGGAACAGAAGTACAAACAAGAACAGACATTGTTGTTTCTCAATTAAGTACCAAATATGGTGGCAGTGCACTGCTAAGATCAGCATATGTGTTAGATATTTAATTAGCTAATCATCGAACAAATAAATACAATATAAACAGCAAAGCTTAGCTATAAATGCCAAGATCAGTTAGCATAAATGCTAAATGCTATGGTCCTTATTCCTCAACACCATTACTAATGAAACACTGTCAGTTCTCTGACTGAAAGCTACTGTTACCAGCACAAGCCTTCCAGCCTCCTCTTAGCTTCTCCTTCCATGGTCCAAGCTCTGTATGTTTCCACAGATCTTGCTCAGCTGCTATTGCCAGGACATGTGGATGTACATGTATCGCTGTTTTGCTGTGACCAAGACATGAAGAAGTGTTATTGATTGACTGCAAAATTGAGGATTCTAGTTGCTTTTTGAATGTTCCCACACTTTAGGGAGAGTTAACCATGACCGGTGGAACCTTCAGAATGCTGTTTTTCTGGACATTGTGCCAGACGGTTGGACGAAGCGGGCGTACCCCTCCATGTGCGGCCCTGTGGTTCTCTGACCTGCTGCTCAGGATCAAGGAGCTGGAGGCCTGGTCAGCAGACTTTGTCTTACCCTCTGTGGTGTGGCTGGCCGGCTTCTTTAACCCACAGTCCTTCCTCACTGCCATCATGCAGGCTATGGCTCGAAGGTAGGGATGTTTTTGACATTAAACATTAAAGGTGTAAATGTGATAGAAGCTACTTGGTGTGAAAAAGCAGATCAACCTCTGGCCTTCCAATGGCAGGAATGAGTGGCCTCTGGACAGGATGTGTCTTCAGTGTGATGTCACCAAGAAGAATCGTGAGGACTTCACGGTACCGCCCCGTGAGGGAGCCTACCTACACGGGCTGTACATGGAGGGCGCACGCTGGGACTCACAGGTACTGCACTTACTGTGGATACAAAATCTAAATACTACACTTTTATTGACATTCACAGAAATATTCCTTTACACATTAGTCTGTCAGCCATCGCACTTGTGATGATGGCTGACTTACACATGAGTATAAAGATGAGCTGACCTCAAAATGATTCTTCAAACTGCGTAAATGAAGTAAAGTAACTTGATATTTTCCCCTGAATGTCTTTCACGTTTCCTTTGAGTCTTAATCTTTCTGCTTTGCATTCTGCTTCATTCAGCTCTGAGAGAGTATTCCTCAGCTTCCCAGAGCTTCATCTATCTGCATACATGCAGCTCCTGAATATGCACCCAGCTTCCAGGGAGCATCCCTGCAGACTCTTTCATTATGGAATGTGCAGACTGTGCTCTTGAACACGGAGATCGCCCTTTACAGGAGTGGCTCCTCTGTTTTTCATTAATTTTGGAGACGCAGGCAAAAAGACAGGTGGACAGGCGGGCTGGGGGGCTCCCCCTCACAACTCTCCTTCCCCTCCTCCTCTCTTCAAAATTCTGCTCTCAGCCCCAAGGCCAGTTCTGTGCCACTGGCAGGGAGCAGCAGAGTGAACGGAGAGTAAGCAGAGCTCCATCTGGACAGCTCTGTGCTGCAAGAAAGTTTAAGATTTATGATAAACCTGCTCATCTAGATTAATGAAGCTTGCGTTTTATTCAGATGGAGCTCGATATTGTATGTAAAATCATTTGTATTTACCCAAACAGACATAAAGTTATTGATATTTAAAAGCTATTTAAAACTTTACAGCTGAGGCAATTAGGGATTTGTCTTCTGAGCGTTCCAAAGTCATCAGGATTTACATTTATTCCTGAAAGTCACTGCATGCATGGGGAAACTTGTGTTTGTCAGGCGCTGAGTGTAGGAGGATTAATAATGAGACGGACCTCTGTGTTTCACTGCGTTTAAAGAGTGCCTCTGAGGCAGCTCCACTTCCCCTCAAACTGCTGACTTTCAACACTTTTCAAGGGTACCACGATATTATGTTGTGCAGACGTGTTGATGTTCTTAAATTGATCAAACATCAATTTTTTTCACATAACGACAACATTACTAAATCCTACCACAGTGAAGAGTATAACTTTGTGGCAAAGATTTCAATGCACTCCGTAAAATGTTTCGGTTAGGGCTATCAAAGATTAATGTGTTAAAAAAAGAAATTACCACTTTTAAGCGCAGATTTCCATAATGAATTGCATGACAGTGAAAAGGCAAAGAGAGCAGAGGAACGGGCGCAGGCTACATGTGTTGTACTGACCAGAGACCACCGGACATCAGGAGGAACCATCTCTTCCCGTCCGTAACATCACACCTGATCCATGACTAATGTGCTGCACTCCTTATTTAGCTGTGGTGAAACGGAGGAAATGCATCCTGCTGAAGCTTCAGTTTCTTAAAGTTGCACAGGAGTGAGAGACAGCGGACAGGGTCACCACAGTAGGAACAGAGAGAATAAAACCATACGAGAATGTGCTCTGAATGAAGTATAATACTGTATTTTAAACATGTCATTAATCATTTTATAACATAGATTATAATTGTGATTAATGAGATTACATTTTTTTTAATTATTTCTGTGTGTGACTAACTGGCCTGTCATCTTTTGTCCCTCAGACTGGCATAATTGCAGACGCCTATCTGAAAGAGCTCACCCCGGCCATGCCAGTCATCTTTCTCAGGGCCGTTCCTGAGGACAAACAGGAGAGCAGGAGTGTGTATCAGTGTCCCGTCTACAAGACCCACCAGAGGGGGCCCACCTACGTCTGGACCTTCAACCTGAAAACCAAGGAAAGTCCCTCCAAGTGGACTTTAGCTGGAGTGGCCTTGCTCCTGCAGATCTAGCCCAGCAGGGTCAAGGTTCAAATAACTTTGAACTTAAAGCTCCCATGTCATGCTTTCCCGGTTATTACCCGTCCCCTTGAGTGTTATGAAGGTTTTTATGCATGTAAACGATCTGCAAAGTCACAAACCCTCACTGAAAAAATTGATACTTTGGATCAACTTAAAAAAATTGCGCTAATTTGTTACAGCTAATTTTTTTTGTTTATTCCAAATTGATTTTTTTACCTCAAAAAATTAATTTGAGTCAAGTAAAAAATATTGCTTCCGTCTAAGATACATATTTACATTCACACAAAGTAATAAGATGATTCATTCTTTAGTACGCACAACATTTATTACTTTGTTATAACTTAATTTTTCTTTTTGGACTAACCTCATATTTATATTAGATCTAAGTAGAGTTTTTAAGTTTGTGAAAACAAATTAAAATAAATACTTCATTTTGTTGCAGGCAATATTTTTTATCATAGCTTAAAATATTTTCATTTATTACAAAGCAAAAACTTTAATGTACATCAATACAATACTGTGTTTTTTTTACTGTAAACAAATTACATTTTGACTTAAACTTATAACACTTTGTTTAGCTCAGTTCACATATATTCTCTTCAAAAAACCTTAACATTGATTGGGATGTCTTTAAAATATGCATCACCTATTCTGTTTTATAAAATACAATATTTTTTTAATTAAAAATAAATACATCAATAAATTAATACAATTCATTGAGTAAATTATGCAACCAATTTGCACTTATGTAAAAAATAAACTCTCCTGTAGCCTTAACCATATACATCAAAAATATGCATATGAACATGTTAAACTAGCTTGCATATCTCTCCTTTAAAATGTAAATATGTAATGCGTTTAAACCTGGCTGCCTTTTAATAAAAGACTAGAATGTATGCATGACATCTTGTTTTTTTTTACATTTTTAAACACTTCAACAATATTTTCTGCAGCTCTTAATTACAACTTCAGATAAACATGTATTAGCCATTAAGAAGGGTTTAAGTAGCATTACCAGAATCTGTGAAGTCACATTCTTTTTTAACTTCAAATGAAACATACAGAGGCCAAAACAATCAAGCAACGAAAAATGCAGTTCAATCACTAGCATTGCAATCTTTGAACAAGGTTGGCCTTTTGTGTCAGTTCAATACTTTCAACCAGATACGAGTTCTTGTAGAGACTGAGCTGGAGGGTGTGGACAAGATGTCAGTATCGTCTGATTGAGCAGACACTGCTTCTTCACAGACGGTAAAGATGTATTCTTGGACACCATCATCAGGTATTGGGATGACCTTGATAGTTGTCAAATCTTCAAGGTCAGCAGTGGATGTCAGGTTGACTAGTGCATCTCCAATGTCTCTGTCTTGATATTGCATTCTAAAACGTCCACCTATAGAGTGCCACAGTGACACCCGGAAGTACGTTAGCATTTTACCACTTCCGGTTCCTTCGACAAAAAAGCAATCTAATTTCTCCATAGGATTTTGGAAAATAGCTCGAAATAAGGTCTGTGGTTGACACACATTTAAGAGACGGATCACGTTTTGTTCAGCCGGATAATATCCACATGTCTACCCTACTTTTATAATTTTCGAATCATAAATCTATTGATCATAAAACTATCAATTAGATTTATGATCCGACTGAACAAAACGTGATCCGTCTCTTAAATGTGTCTCAACCACAGACCTTATTTCCAGCTATTTTCCAAAATCCTATGGAGAAATGGAGGGAACCGGAAGGAGTTTACTTCCGGGTTTTAGGACGCGTCACTGTGGCACTCTATTTCACACACTTTCCTGACTTCATCAGTAAGCTGCTCCATTGTCTCTGGAATTCCATTAGGCAGAACTAGCTTCCTGGTGTCATCGGGATTCAGAAGAATTTGTAACTTGGCTGGCGTTTTCACGGTCATGTCAGGCAACCCAAAAGGAACTAGAAAAAAAAAGAACATAAACAATGATATTAGTAATAGTGCAATGATACACTGACGACTGAATGTCAGTGTATGTCTCACAATAGTGACATGCCTGGAATGACAGAGCAAATTATTGCCACCATTAGCTCTTGTTCAATAAACATACAGATGTGAGGATTGACTTTACATGCAACAATATTAATGAAGTGCAGTCTTGTATTTTTCATTTACTTGTACAATACATACTTTTTCTCATTTAACTTTAATATTTTAAATTACCTTACGTAACATTTGGGTACCTAACTAGATATATTATCACTTGAGATTAGAGTAGAGTAACGCAGCGTCCACACGGCAGCGTGCGTTGAAGCTCGACCAAAATTCAATCACATCAATCTCCCGCCCCGGACACACAAGCATACGGTTTGATTGGCTAGAGCTTGTACTGGCATATGATTTGATTGGCTGACGCTTCCGTCGAAGCTTGAAAAGTTGAACTTTTCTCAACGCAAAGTGAAGCGACGGAAGCACAATGCAGTTCGGCAAAGCGTGACGTCACCCCATTCAAAGTGAATGGGAAGCTGCGTTGAAGCTTCAACCAGGGTTCGAGTTATAAAACTGAGCTCTATGGGGTCTTTAAAACACACACACACACACACACACACCAGCAGCCCTCTACTTGCTACAAACTTAAATATGAAAAGGTTCAACTACGCACACACATCATCTTGGCTCGCGCAGCACGCTCACAGGCATAGATTGCGCAACCTTGGAAGTGCAGTGCAGGCAGTCATTCAAGAGATGCGTAGTTCTTTTGGAAAACATGTTTTTCTATTAGCCTATTTACCTCATTAGCGTAAATAATACTCATTACATTGACAAATGCATTATCTTTGATTAAAATAATCGTTGTTGGTAATTTATTAGCGACCCACACAGATGTATGATTTCACTGCGTCCGTGGGAGCTC